GAGATTATACCAATCGTTTATCTTGCAGTCTGGCCAATATCTCAGAGTTCACGAGAATATGATTACGCAGTGAATCCTTTCCTTCCGGACTGCAGACATTGACTTGCATGCTTATTTCTTCAGACTCCTGTAGGAAACGAGCCTTCATACCGGCTCGCTGAGCTACTTGCAAGTACCGATCATTCGTATTCATTGCTACAGCCTCACGTTGTTTTCACGACATGTTCCACCGCGGCCTCAATCCAAGATTCATTGCGCTGGAGATGAATGATGTTCACTTGCGTGATGACTATGCCTTGGGGACCGCCATCCTAGACAGGAGCTGTGAACTTAGAGGTAACACAGTAATTTCCGAGCCCTTTGATTGATTGTGCAGTGCTGCACTCTGGCTTTGATACAACTACAGCGAGGTGCCCACTCAATCTCGCGATCGAGCCATGGCACTGTGGAAACATGCTCGTTTTGTTGCGTTTGACTACGCGAATTAAACTTTTGCCACATGCTAGGCGTATTCAGATGAGATCCAACAACCTAGATGCTATCTCATATCTTATTGTGAGAGTGCACGGTATTCAGGGCACAACGGCGTTACATCGTTGACCTGGAATGTTTTTTTTCGGGCGCATGTTAACTGAAATACTCTCATCCCCGACAGGGTCCATGACGGTATTGTAGGAGTGCACGCGCTTGCCGTATTTGCCGCGTGAGTAGCTTCCCTTCTATCGTGTGATCAAAGACATTTATACCATCGTTTGCATTTAGATCTCAGCAGACACATGCACTGAGTCAGCCGAATGCTATGAGAATTAACGTGCTTGTAGCAAGACGCTTGCATAGGTATCACGTTGCGGAGCGCCTTCCACTGCCGTCTCTTGTATGTATGGGTGGATATATCGGTTCCTGTCATTCTGGTGACATATCGGTTTCAAGTGACGACCGTAGGTAGGATTCATCACAAACGCTGACAGGAGAGCAGCTGTTTTCCTCACGCTTTTTCTCGGATGTTGAGTAATCCCATCTCTCCTGTAGGTACCATTCGTATTGAGCATTTTTTTCCCAGAGCTTCATTGCGGACCATGTCTTATGCTGCACACTATGCCAAGCGCAAGGCCTTGAGCGTCTTACCGAGGTGGAGTTCATACACGACATGCCTTCACTCGGAAGGAACACGGGGAAGCGTAGGTGACAGATGCCTTTGCCTGATCGTCCCTCGCTTTATCTAGTTGCGGGGCTTAGGGTGCCTCTCGCGGGATGACCGATCGTCTTGATACTGATCAAGGCCTAATTATCACGAAAATAAGCTACACCGTTGGGCATCGTCGCGGCCTGTGTTCCTGCATCCAGAGAGCCCCTTTTGAGCCTCCTGGCAACCCTCCTTTTTCGATTTCCCAAGCAGAAATAGACCATGAGTGCTCTCTACCCCTTCGAAACATTTGTTTACGCATCAAGATCCAATGTCGAACATCCATGACCGTGCTCAGCGGAGCGCGCTGGTCCCGCGTGGCGCTTGTCGACGAACAGGCTTTTTCGCAAGAATTCTTTCAAGAGTACGGGCGTCTCGACAGCCATCCAAGTGGTATGCTATAATCGTGGAGCCGTAAATGGAAAGTATTCCAACTCCATGAGCTTTCACGGCATCCATCGACACATACATTCATCGCTTGACGAGCGTGCCGCTCGTGATGGACGGCGCATCTGCTGCTTAGTGGGGTCGTTGGACAGGTTTTACGAGTCGCATGTCATCATTGTAATCGCACATTCTACAAGGACAATACGACCTGGAAACAAAAGGCGGTCGTCAAACGGACACTCGGGTTCGGAGTTGTCGCTCCACCTGTCGAACCGATTCAAACGGCACTCATTGACAGGCTGCGGGTCTAGTGTCACCAGCCTTGTAGCCAGTCAATGCGCTTGTAAGCGGCTTTCCTTTATTTTTCTCAGTCAGACATGCCATGATCACTGGTAGGGCTCCGACCGAACGGGGACGCGAGAGCGCCCAGGAAGCCTGGCTAGTTTCTAGTGACTTACGATATGGCCCAGTGTTTGCATACTGCCATAGGTCCTGTGTTTACTCATCTGATCCCTCCGAGCTTCTCATTTCTGCTTGCATTTCGAGATATCTTAAAGCATTCGAGAGCAGATTTTGTTGCTGTTGTCTGCGCTTAAGCCAGCTGGCTTCCGAAAATAATGTTAAGTGAGTGTTTTCCCCCCAAATGGACCGAGGCGTCAGAAGGCCTGTGATCTCAGCTTGTATTCAGCCTTACGCCGACGGATAGAGGTGTCATCGTTTTATGCCTTGAGAATGAAATTTATTTCCTGCCGCAATATTCACACGATTTAACTACGCGGTTTTAACCCAATATACTGCGCTGTCACGTTAAGATGAACGAAAGGAAGGTCACATTCCGAAAACAATGTCAAATGACTGTCTCATGGGCGTGACGTGAGCCTTCTCCTTCATGTTTCCATCGTATTCTTGCATTTATGATGTCCACCGACCACTCTTTTGGCCATAATTCTACCCGATGTACAGACTCGATTAAATAGGCGTCTGCTTGCGAGCATGGAGTAACCTGCGATGCAGGCTTACGAAATCGTGCTCCTCTCGGCCATATATTTTCCTTCTCCTCACCTTTACAGCATTGATACTGATTGAAATCAATGCGGGCAGGAGCAAAACACGTCGAGCCTTCGCAAATTGCTGCGATGGCCACGAGACCTGGCATATGGCGGAGGCGCTTGGTTAAAGACGACATCGAGCTATGCCACGAAGCATCGAGCCTCAAAGCGGTGTGTCGTGCCGGCGCCGAGGACTGTTAGATTGCGAGACATTGATGCATACACTAATTCACGTAACGCAAACGAATCCCGGTGTGAGAGATGGGATATTAACCTTGATTGCTCCTGCAGGTACTCGGCGAGAGGCAGCCGGCATGCATACTGGCCGATCCAGGTGCACGGTTCGGCTAGTCTTCCATGAAGCAGCCATGCGCAATTGTGGTGGTGACCTGATCAGTCCACATGGGCTCGGCGCATCATGATGCTTGCTGCTGACGCGGGGGATATACTCTGCTGGCAGGAGTGCTCGCTCCTTAAGTCCGGCTCACTGCGCTCGGATATGACGTCCAAGAACCTCGACTCGCGGGAAGATGCATGAATTCGAATGCAAATGTGTTATCAGCATCCCATCGGTGAAGAAGCCTGCGCCACAACGTCCATGTATGCCGAATCGGTTCCTTTACCTCCGACTGAGCTCAAATGCTCTTTGTCTGTAATCGTGATCATATTGCCTGGCGAATCCAACACTTTCTCCATGCTGAGTTTAGTCTCATTCGCGCGTGTAGGGCTGTTCAGCTACGATCACTTCGGATCCCGCTACGGTACGTATCCTTGCTGGATTGTGTACTCGCTATACTTATGCTCTGTCCTCTTCCCAAAATTAGATGTGCCCGCCGCGTTAAGATGTTGTCAACGTCTCCTACTGAGCTGCAAGTTCTTACACGACTACTCATATGCAAGGACAAAGAGCTCGATCGGGGCAGTGATACGCAAGGTATTCCTTCCTGCTGGCCAGGAATGAATCTCGTCCAGCTCACATACACTGTTGGGTTCATGTTTCGAGTCAGGCATGCTGTCGGGAGGGAGAACGGAGTTCGAGGGCAGTGGGGATAGAGCCAAAATAACTACATAAAGAGGGTCAACGAGGGCAAGATGTTCGGCAGCGAGAGTGTTGTGCAATGGCTAATGGTACGAAAACCCTTGTCTCGCTCGATTCATCACTGAATTTTCTCGCAGAGGGTACTGTCCTTTTGAATAACTGTATGTTGGCTTGGTGTTGTCGATTATAACTGTCGCTAACGGCATCCTTTTCGCAGGGCTCCAGGCTAGAAACCGAGTAACTTCACTAAGTTGGGAAGAGTCAACGACGGGTCCCAGACATTCCCCGCAATGGACGTCCGTTTGTAAGAGTGAGTATTCTCGTAGTGGAGGCAGTCGACGATGTAGGCTTATTTGACATCACTAGTCGATGGACAAGATTACGGTCGTGGAACGGGAGCGCAGAAACATCTCGCTCGTGACATAGCTGCAAAAGCGGCATTGGAACGTCTCATCCAGGAGAGCGAGTAATTCTGTTATGCATTTTCATCTTGGACGTCCGTCCTGCAATCTTCCACTTGTCGCAGCTGGGTTGCGTCTTTTTGTCTTTCAAACCGAGATACCTTTGGTTGTGTGTTTTCCTTTTGTCGCAGGCACCCTAGAAGAGTGCATATGTCGTAAATTATACATCCGCGTTTTCCTATAAATCGTTGACAGTTGCGATCGTCGATACACTTGCTAGTACTCCTTTGCACGTGACTGCGCTAAGCAAATACGAACCCACTGACGCCGCTAGCAATGGCCTAGTAGTGACTGGACCTCCCGGCTCCGGACTGGACTAGGAAGCTTAGGCTATTTTCGATATGATCGTTTAACTCAGACTAAGGAGAGGCGCGCATTTTCAAAATATTCTTTCCATAGCGCCAACATTGGTTTAACGCAAGGTTCAATAATGTCACAGCCGCAATACGCTGATGGCACCTAAGGCCTGAGTTGGAGCAAGTCTCAGCCATCCTTCAGAATAACCAGTGTGCACGACTAGTGAGTATCTAGTTCGAGCATGATTCGGTATTGAATCGATTTCCGTCAGTTTTGGAAAGAGGACGACCTGTTAATCTTAGTGCCCAACACTCGCTTTCGTCAGGGTCGTTATGTCAGTAGCTAGCAACAGGATGCAAAATCTGAATACCCAATTACTCAAAATTGCAACGCCGCTGAATATTCGTCGCCCCGCTGTTGCGCTACAGCGTGTGTTTTTGACGCTGTATTAATTGGAATTCCCACTGAACCGCCGGTATGACACGTATGGACGACACCCTGGACCTGCTCCCGCCCATTGACACGGTAAGCATTGCATTGAGATTCAGGCGAACGCGGAGATTATCTCATATCATACTGTGGCTTAAAAAGACAAATATCTAGGCTTTCGCTCCGTTCCATCAATCATGATGACATGACTCTCCGATCTTGCCGTTTCAACGGGGATTCAAGGATGAAAGTGGCCCTTCAATAAGTAACCGGCGGCGGTGTCAAAACACCTCTGGGGAACCTCGATGGCAACGGTGCGTCTTGCGCATTTGTTCCGTAGACTTGTACAGCTTCCCCGCGATATACAAGCTATGATCCGAAGATAAATGGGAGCGTTGCTTCCGAAAGCTAAGTCGCGTCAAGCTTGGATAGCAAGAAAGCTATGGGACCGGCGGCACCTAGCTCCTCGGTGTTGAATTTCAGCTGCTGGCCGACAGCGCGTCTGCGTCACGATCGGGTTCAAGGACATATCTGTGCAAGGCGGAGCCGGTTCTTCACAGTTGACTCGACCGACTGTGGAATTACATAGAGCATACCACCGCCAATTCCTACCATTCCTCCGAGGACAGCGTCTCTGTGATTTGGAATATTGTACCGGTCCTTATGTCGCAGACCCGGACCTGGTTAACGAGTGGTCGTTCCGAATGTGTGCGGATTCCTCAAGTCCCATCATGTCTTGAGGCACTCACCGACCCTTGCGGGCTCTGCAATGAATGCCGCCACTCTCGTACTAGTGTATGATCCCGAGTGGCAGTCCAATGCAAGAGTGGAATTCGTACTGGTTTACCTACATGTCGTCGGAACTACAAACGTGTTCTATGATCATATAAAGCAGGGCCATTCCTCGACGTCTTGACATTCAAGCAAAGTCTGCTCTCCCAATCTAGTGCAAGTCCTTCAGTCGTCACAAAATAAGACCATGACCGGTATGTTATACTTTTTCACTGACATAGAACACGCTGATAATTCATCAATCAGCTAACGTCGTTCGTCTCAACAACTGTGAGTTTAATACTTTTCATTGAAGTTGCGGATGCTAACTGGCTGACGCAGTCTTGCAGAACAGACATATGCAGCATGCTCTGACCGAATCATTCTCCTCTGTTGGTCCGCCAAATCAGCTTCAGTGGACCGTTACATTCAAATGTAACATAATATCATTATGTTCTACTCACACATACGCTGATGCCGCTTCACATGCACAGTAAATGGACAAGCAATCGGAGCTGCTACTGCCGGCACCAAAGGAGCGGCTAAGGAACAGGCCGCTGGACAGGCATTGACGGCTCTGGGCGCATGAGTATTTCTGAAGCGTGTATTTCTCTCACATAGAGGTGTCCGACTCCATAGACACGGGTGTAGCGTCCCATATACTATATATCTAAATAAGAACCACAATAGTCGAGATTCAGATCACCCGACGCCACCGATTACTTAGATTTACGTAACCGACCGATCAGGCTCAGTACAGTAAGATCAGGGCCAATGCCATTGACAGACGCCGCGCTCAAGCTTACATCCGTGACGTGTGTATTGTCGTTCAGGTAGAAAGCACCAGCATGTCAATGTCACGGCGCATGTTCCCTTTCCTCGTCGCAGGAATCACAGGTAATGCTCTCCTTTTAACCTGCAGTCAACTACGGCTAATTCCAGTCACCGCGGGCCCAGGTGTTCTGTCAGGAATCTATATCTTCCAACCCCTGCTTACTGAGGGCTCTTTAGAAGGGTATACGTTCCGAGATATTCTGTGCAATGAACACACCAACTGATTCTATCATTCCGCAGCCAGCGCGGTGCTAAATACCAGACCGCAGTAGCGACACGTCCTGAGAGTGACGCGAAACCTGCAGGTGCCGCAGCTAAGTCCACAGGCAGTAGTCAATAGGGTCTGTCATCGATAATTTCCAAGACCACCTGTGTATAGGATGTAATTTGCTGATGCAGATTAACGATAGTTGTTTATGACACTAGTACAGATGTACATAAAATCTAACGGTCGACATGCATCTTAGACTCATCCTGAATTGTCACATTCGTCTTCGACAACACCGGCCTTCGTTCCCATATCTGATGGATGTATTAGGCTTTGCACGATATCGTTAAAGAAGACAGTCACCTGTAACACGGTTTCACCCAAAAAAATCATCTCCTTCCTGATTTCTTCCACAATCAGATCCTGAATTTGGAACCATTTCTCCGTGTCACCGCCTCCCCCACCAGCGCGGAGATGAACTTTCCAAACTGTGGTCTCCTTATCATGAGTGGTACCCGCTGCTGACTCGTGCGTGACATTCGCGATTAAATCATATAGAGTGGGCGAGTGGGAAGGTGGTGCATCAAGGACTACGGTTGGGTATCTTAGCTGAGAGGAAAGGTGGTAGAACTGGCACTGACATTCACGGAGATCAAGTCCTCGCAGCGGGAAATTCACTATAGTGGGATTTTTCTCTTCCACGAAAATATTCTTGGTGAACCGCTTGAAGTTCAATATGACGTAGGGAGGTAATTGCTGGCATTTGAACCGTCTCAATTGACCGGCCGACTCCTACACGTAGTCTCGTCAGCGATGAACAGCCCCTCTGATGGAGCGCCATCTACCTGTGTGGTACGGCCGTCATACTTGGTAAGCACTGAGTATATTCCGACTTGCGGAATGATATTCTTCTCTACTGCATCTTGGAATAACGGTGGCGGTGGCAGATCGACGGCCAAGAATAGGAACGGCGAGACCGTTGATTTGATCTCTACACGCTGTCGTCAGTTAGTGGTTCTCTGTCAGATGGAGGCCATACCTCGGTCGATATCAAATCTCGGCTTCTCATTATCACCAAGATCGGGACGCACAACGACTTGCTGCGTCTCCATCCGTACTTGACCCTGAAACGTGGAGAAAATGACACCTGTGCGAACTCGATCCTTAGCACAGGCAGGCTCTCGCGAGTCTAGAACAGCCAAGTAGATGGAACACGTACTAGAGTTCTTCTTCTTTGTCCCGCCCATGTCCTTATGCAGACGGTTTAGCAACCACCCCAGGAATTCTACTGGATCGCCTTGACTTCCAAGACTGAACTTACCCGCACTTGCTCTGCCTACCTCCTGCAGAAACTCGTGCGGACTGACTTGGCTCTTGAAAAGCCTAGGGTTCCACACCTTCTTCGCAAGACTGGCAAAACGCTTTAACAACTCAGACTCCTTTCCGTGGAAGTTAGAAATTAACAGATGGTCACGTAGAGGCTGGACATGAAGTAGTGAATGTATAATGACATTCATGTAATCGTTTCGCTTGATATCATTTAGGCCGATATATCCAGGAATGTATGGCTTGGAAGACAGGTCATATGACGGTTTTTGAATGAATGAGGGTGATGAGAGCCCTTCTATTGAAGCAGATGTGAAGGAAGGCGCGAGAACGAACGATATATCCTCTAGGGATGGGTCTGATACTAGGTATCCGTCGGGGAGGACATAGACCTTATGAAAGAGATTGTGAGTCGAGGTAATCTCAATGTCGAAACACAAGCACCTTCGTTGATTCCAGATTGATGAATACATGATGATCTTCATGTATGGCGTGGGCGTACGCGTAAGAATTACGACCTCGTCCCTGGAAGTACTTCCCGCACACAAGGCAACCATAGATGTTTATATTGGAGAGGGAGACAGAGCATACTTTTTCGAAATCAAAATCAAGGACGGCTCTGTTTATCTGATTTTGTAGTCAGAATCACGCCCGCGCCAATACAAACCTAGGCGTACTGTGTCAAGGTACATGTCCGACGCCCTAGGCGGCTCAGCCCTCCGCCTTGGGCCCCTCTGCTCTTCTTCTTCATCAGATATTTCTGAATCTTCGCTGACCCTCCTCTCGGTAATGAGAGAGCTTTCATTCGCCACGGAACTCGAAGCATCTGTATGCAATCCAAGCTTTGCTTTCTTCGCGGGCCTTTCCATCCCGTCTGCGTCCATATTTGATTTTCTGTGTCCGGTAATCATACGCAGTAGAATTAAAGAAAGACCGCAAGAAGTAGCTGATGCGCAAACGTCCTCAGTAAGTACTAAGCACTTGCAGCGAGTACTTATAACTTGGAACGATCGTGCACCGGCGCGCAAGCGGTACACGTGATCCTACTTCGGTGCGCGCCACACGCCTCTCGAGTCTCCTCCTGCACCAGCTAGGGCACTTGTCATTTTTTGTGGGACTTAAACGTTCTCTATACCGTAAGTTCAACACTATCACCGGAGAGATATTGCTATATCCACATTGCGCACGATATTCGGCTCGCCACGCCAAATTGTATTCTAGGTCTCTATCAATCAAGTCAGCATGGATGATGAAGATGCCGATTACATGCAAGGTAGCGATGACGAGGTGAACTACACTCGAAGCGACGAATGAGCTCCGAAGTTCATATATCAGTCAGGATTACGGCTTTGACTACTCGGATGAGGAGGACGCAAACGAGGCAGGAAGTGCTGATGTCGAGAATATGTACTACACAGCAAAGTGTAGGAGAAATCATCCTAGACTCCGAAGACATTTTCTCATGGATCTCCTCATCAGCCAAGAAAGAAGATAATCCAGAACAAGCGTTGAAGGAGTTCCGAGCCATTGTCGATCAGGAGGAGGAAAAAGGAGATTGGTACGCACTCCGATCTGTTCATCTGTATTGAGCGCTGAATCGCCTTCTGTAGGGGCTTCAAAGCTCTCAAACAATCGACAAAGCTCCTCTTTCTTATCTTACGTAAACCGAATGACGCGTTGGAGACATATAAACGGCTTTTGACATACACAAAGTCGGCGGTTACGAGAAATTATTCAGAGAAGACCATCAATGGTATCTTGGACTATGTTGGTGGAGGGAAGGGAGGCCCTGTCGAAGTCGACGTGCTCGAAAAATTTTATCAAGCGACGAAGGCAGCTTTGGAAGAAGCGAAGAATGAAGTAAGGCAACACGTTTTATCATTGAACGTGTTACTTATGTTTTGTAGCGTCTCTCTGTGAAGACTAATTTGAAGCTGGCAAAGTTGTGGCTAGACAGAAAAGAGTATACTCGCCTTGGGAAGGTAATCGTAAAGCACTGAACTTCCCGAATACTACTTAACACTATCACAGCTCCTCAGGGACTTACATCGATCTGGAACTGGAGCAGATGGCGAAGATATGGCGCAGAAGGGCACACAGCTTCTGGAAATCTATGCTCTCGAGATACAGATGCACAATGACACGCGCAATTTCAGGAAGCTTAAGGTGTCGTACTCCCTTTATGCACATTTTATACATCCGTCACATATTTTCAGGAAATCTACAACGCTGCAAATTCTATTCGTTCTGCAATTCCTCATCCACGCATCATGGGGGTCATCAAGGAGTGCGGCGGAAAGATGTGGATGGGCGAACGTAAGTAGCAATATATCCACGCATTTGCTGCGCCACAATCACATTTCAATTTCAAGGGCAATGGAATCGCGCCAGCGAGGACTTCTTTGAATCGTTCAGAAATTATGATGAAGCTGGTTCTGCTCAGAGAATTCAAGTCCTGAAGTACCTCGTCCTTGCAAATATGCTCACGGGAAGCGAAGTCAATCCTTTTGACAGCCAAGAGACGAAACCGTGAGTATGTTAGACTCGAGGCGCTCGAGGTCCCTTGATTCTTGTGCAGGTATAAGAATGATCCGCAGATCAAGGCCATGACGGATCTCGTGGACGCGTACCAGCGACGTGAGGTTCATGCAGCGGAGAAGATTCTGCGAGGTTCGTGGATGCTCCCTTGCATGATTGTTCGAAATTGAATGTCCGTTCACCTCAAGATAATCGAGCCACGATCATGGACGATTCCTTTATTCGATCTTACATTGGGGAGCTACTACGTAGTTTGCGTACCCAGTATCTTATTGATCTAATCAAGCCATACACACGACTGGAGCTTTCGTTCCTTGCCAAGGTTCGTTCATCGAAACTAGGGGGAGAGACTAGGACTAATAGAGGACATCCTGGCCTCTAGCAACTCAACGTTGATAAGGAAGAAGTTGAGGATCTTCTCATCGACCTTATTCTGGAAGGCAAGGTAGAAGGCAAGATAGATCAGGTGGCTATGCGGCTTGAACTCAACACCAAGTATTTCTTACTTTTTGTCCGTCTATGGTATATTCAAGCTGATGTCCTTTAGGCAAAGTCTCGAAAGGAAGAGATACACGGCCCTTGAAAAGTGGACGGGCACATTGGAGTCCATTCATGCTTCCGTGATTGGCAAGAATCAAAGTGGTAGCAGGGCTACTGATGCCTCCTTCAACTTTTCCGATCCCTTTACATCTACGATGCGGGAAGTCGAAGAACGATGGATGGACAAGGTGTAGACTAGATCTGGATCATGTTTTTGTGTTCATTAATCTTGTACGATTGTATGGTTTCGATACATTTTCACTCGCAAATTGTTCAAGGACACAAATTGTGCTTATTTCTGGCCATTCAACTACCCTCTGGACAAACTCTTAAGTAGTGATCATCCTGGTTCAGGCAATACAAAAGCAACTAGATAGCAAAGTAGTGACGAATACTTCATTGACCGGACAATTGAAATCAAACGTCTACTTCTGGGAGTGTCGAAAAAGTAGAACCAATCGCTTCAGATACCTATATCAATAGATTTGAATATGAAATATAAGACCATATTAGAAGCGAGCGCCCACCTGGTTACACACGCGGTGTGCGCGGTATTATGGGTGTCCAGTCATAATTCCACCCGCTTCGAGAAGGAGTATCTGAGGGTATACGCAGCTCTCTAGGAAAGAGGCCCCGCACCCTTGCCTCGAGAGCCTTCCTCTCCGGCCCCCTTAATGACTTCGACAGCGCCACCTCCTCATTCGTTCGCACCCGCGGGTCCTCCTCCTTATTAGCTTCCAAATACAATTTTGGGTCGAGCTCGCGCAACACCTCCATAGCCCTCTGCATGCACATGAACTTCCTCTCCAGTTCGGCCTGCCTTTTCCGACGTACGTGTCGCTGGTGAAGCAACCACGCACGTTCTATAGTTTCATGCGCTTGTGCGGATGGAATTGCACGCTGTAGACGGCGGCCCACGTCTGGCCTCCAAGTGCCAGTAGGTGAAGGCCCGTTTCTGATGTTAGAGGGATATAAAGCGCGTCGAATGATTTCGTGTTTCGGATCGCCCATTGACTCCTTGCGTCCAGCATATCGAACGGATGAGTATGCGACACGGAGTGGAAGGATTGACTTGCGCAGTCCGAGCAGTGAGGAAGACATGCTGAGCACCGAGTGTTGTGAGAGACACTACTTTGACCGTGACTAGTTAACCTCTTAAAATATTCAGAGTCAACATGACAACTCATCCAGCGGCCGGGAAATTCCAGATCCAGATCTGTATTTTCCATTTCAAGCAACTGTAAGCTCCCTCCCGGCGCGACTTCCGCCACTGGCCCTAAGTTAGCAATGACTGAGGACCCTCTCGGCCACGTTCCAGTCTTTCAGCACGGACACTAGCGCGAAGTACCGACCTAACTATCGACGAAGTTATCTATATTGATTGCTGTTATAACCCTTAGCTCAGTTGGTTGTCACCGCCTCATATGTGACGGTTACACTAATTTGGACTTAGCATCTTTAAGTTCATTCTGTAGGTGGAAGCTACTACTCAACTTCCACTATGAAGTCTCATGATCACCCTGTACTGATCGTGGAGGCGTTGATATCCTACGACACTCCTTTTTTCATTCATTAAGCTTTTCTAACCCGTTCAACCGAACAATCTCTGGCGACTGGCACGTGAATATTGAACCTAGATAACTTCGATCTGGAGTTGGACGTCGTGAACGAACTGCAACACCACTTTATGATGCTCTGTAGTTCAAAGCCTTCTGTTACTGTTTTGCGATGTTCGACGGGGTGCTCTCGAATTTTCTACCAACTCCTTTCAACTTCTATCAACTCCGACGATGTCAGCAGAGTTGAATAGTACTCTACGATGACTTATTTTCTCAGGAACATAAGCAAGAATGACTGTATCGTGTCATGATCCTTTTCATAATTGACAAATCTCACAACACCGACCACAGTAATGAGTTCCTAATGCCAGCTTCGGTCTTCTAACTATATTTACAAGGCGATGCGTCCTGAAGATGGAGGCAGGTCACGCAGTTCCAAGTCAGTAACTAGATGGGAAGCGCCCCGTTTTTTTTTTTTTTT